CTCCTCCTCCTCCTCCTCCTCCTCCTCCTCCTGTTTCTCCTCCTCCTCCTTCGGAGGAAGCGCGGCGCGCTGGCCAGCCTGCGGCCGGCGCACCCTAATTGCTGCCTGCGGTGAGCGGGCCACGCCTCTGAAGTGAGTGGGCGGGGCCCTTCCGGGTGCCTGCCCTGACGGGCACATCGCGGCCGCCCCCACCGACCGCGGTGCTGTCCTTGCAGTAGAGCGCCACCCCAAGAAGGGCAAGGGCGTACTAGGTTTAGGACGGGCATGTCCTCCTACAGGCTGATCTTGGAAGAAAATCAAACATGGGCACACCAAAAGTTTCAAAATAGTCCAAACATTGTCGAAAGTCGTCGCCTGACTATTGTTTGACTATTCTTGAATATTCCGCCTGTAGAGGGACATGCCCGACTTACTACAAGGGGACATCGCCCCCCCTTCGAGAGAGCTGAAGGTGCTCTGGGCGGGGCACTTGGAGGCCTCGGGCCCACAGCGGACTGGCCCCAGGGACCCTCCGGCCAAGGGCCTCGGGAGATCCGTCCTTGTTGAAGTGCTCGGCTCCTTTTTGGGCCGCCGCGGGCCCCAGCCCAGTCGCTGGGGACCCCAGGTCCTGGAGGCCCGAGCTCTGCGCGAGCAGGGCTCATAAAATCCGCTCTCTTGGAACTCTGGCACGACGCCCTTTCGGCGGGATCCCGCCAACCTCATCCCTCGCCCTTCCTCCTCCCTCCTCGCCCTGGGAGTAGGCGCGACGCCGGCGCCTCCTTGGAGGACTTGATGGACTCCTGGGCCTCCGGCAGGGGAAGGTTCTCCATCCCCTTCAGGAAGGGCAGCTCCGCCTCGTTGACCTCGAGCAAGAGGAGAGAGAGAGAGAGAGAGAGAACAAAAAAAAAAAAAAAAAAAAAAAAAGGGAGAGAGAAAAGCGGAGGAGGGAAAAGGGAGAGGAAGAAACAATAACAGAAAAAACGGAAAAGGAAAATGGGAGGAAACGGAGGAAAAAAACAATCAACTAACAAAATAAAAAACTGGGTCGTCTGGACTCTAGAGGGGCCGCTGCGAGCGGCGTGCCTCGGAGTGCGGCGGCGGCCGCGGAAGCCCCGGGCGAGCCCTAAGAGATAAGGATGGGCGAGGGGAGCCCGGCGAGAGGGCGCGGCGCGGGCCTCGCCCCTCCCGGGGCCCCCCCTGGCAGCTGGCGGGACACATCTTCGGAGTGAGCTGCTCGGCTGCAGTCAAGGCGCACGATGCACCCATCGGTCGGAAGGAGTGGGCGGACACCTGAAGCAGGAAGGCGTTGAGAGCAGACTGGGCTTCCGCCCACACCCTGAAGAGGAGGGAAGAGGGACAACCATCACTCCTGAAGCAGGAAGGCGGCTGAAGTAGATTGGGATCTGGGAGAGAGCGTGATCCACCGCCACTTTACTGTAGGAAATTCCCCCTCCTCTTCCTCCGGAACCCGGGGGGGGCCCCCCCCCTCCGAAAATCCCCCCCCGCTGCTCGACACCACCCCCCCTCCCTCCCCCTTCCTTCCCCCGGCAAAACCCCCATTCCCCCTAACCCCTCGCGCCTCCGATGTCGCAGCGCTCCATACGCCAAGCTCGGTACTCCTTCCATCGACGCGTTCTTCAGCATGTGTCGAAAAGAAAACTTGCCCAGAGCACACATCGGCATAACAATTCTTTCGCCATCCTCCTCCTCCTCCTCCTCCTCCTCCTCCTCCTCCTCCTCCTCCACCTTCTCCAACTTCTCCAACTTCTCCTCCGCCTCCTCCTCCTCCTCCTCCTCCTCCTCCTCCTCCTTCCCATCCCTCCCTATGCTACTCGTCGCCATCCTCCCTCACACACAACGCCGAGGGGAAACGTTTTGGGGGGGGGCCGGCTCACCGAGGGGGGGGAGCGTCGAGCTGGAATCGGCGATACGTCGTCGACTGAGCGGCGGCAGGTCCCCAGTCCCCCGGTGTCGAATTCGAACGTCACTGGGCGGGGTAGGTCATCGGGTCCCACCGGCAATGAGTGGGCGACTGGGCGTCGATGCATCCCCCCCTGAGCATATCCCCCCTCTGGCGTTGTGGATGCCATGACAATGGACACTCTAACAATCCTTATCATTGAGTGAAAAATGTGTTCAAAATGTGTAATACATGTTCTAAAGATGTTTCGAACGTGTAGACTTAAAACGTATTTGAAACATCTCGTAGACATCTGGAAATCATTTGGCAGCACGCTTCCTCCCCATGAATCTGCTTCCACAACCCTAGCGGTGCCCCTGAAGCGCCCAGGTGACACGAGGGGGAGCCCCGAGGCACACGCCTGCCGCGCCTGCCTCCCCCCGGGCCGCGGCGGGAGCTGCCGTGCGAGCCGCTCGAGCGACGAGGGGACAGAGATCTTACGCGGGAGCATGCGGCGACTTCAAGCGTTCGGTGGCAGCTCCTGGGAGCCTCCCGTGCCAGCCTGCTGGCTCTGGTGGATTGACGCTAACCGACACGAATCGAAGCTAGTCCACTCTAATCGACGCTAGATCGACGCAAGGGGACGCTAGATCGGCGCCTTCTCATCAAGTACCAGACGCCAGCGCACGCTAACGCACTCTAGAGATGGCACTACTAGGACACGCATGGCTCTCATGATTTGCTAGCGAACAAACGCCATGCGCCTACCGCTAACGCCGCAGCACCTGGCGTGGAGGAAAAAAAAAAAAACTGAAGAGGGCACCAAGAGGTAACCAAGAGGGGAACTCGCAGGGAGCCCGGGAGCCTTCCCCATCAAACAGCCCCCCGGACCGCAGGTTCCCACGAGGCCCACAAGAGGCCCCCAAAAAACCTTACGTGGAGATGAGGGCACTCCCGCGCAGTTTTCCAGAGCACGCTCCCCAGACCAGGCCTCTGGCGACTCGAACAAAAACACCCCATGTTTTTCGCCATTTTCGGCGGTTGGGGGGCGTTTCCGTGCTTTGGGCCGTCACAGCGCTACTCAAGATGACAAGCCAATCCTGGAGAAGGGGCGGGGGGCTCCTGGTGCAGGCGACCAAAAACAAACGAAACGTCGGAAGCATGGCTACCAGCCGAGCCTTGTTCATGGCGACCTCGACCTCGTCCGCCTTCTTCTTGGCCTCTTCTGTGTAGGTCTGGAGAACCGTATTGTTAGCCACTGACACACACACGCACACACGCAGCACACGCAGCACACGCAGCCACACACACACACACACACACACACACGCATGCACACGCACACGCACACGCACACGCACACGCACGCACACACACACACACACACACACACACACACACACACACACACACACACGCACGCACGCACGCACGCACGCACACGCACACGCACACGCACACGCACACGCACACGCACACGCACACGCACACGCACACGCACGCGCACACGCACACGAATACGCACACGCAGAAGCACACGCACACGCACACGCACACGCACGCGCACACGCACACGCACACACACACACACACACACAAACAAGACAAGACAAGCGCGTTTCGCATAGCCTGGATCCGCCGCGAGGGATTTACGCTCCATTACAGGATAACTGTTTTTGTTTCTGGACGCTTGCGGGTAGGCACCTCGCGAGTAGCGGAACACATTCGGCGAGACACACACACACACACACACACACACACACACACACACACTTTTCGGCCGCCGCGGGCGGGCGCAGCGCCACGCTGTCCAGCCCGCGCGCGGAGAACCGCGCGCGCACCACAAGCTGACAAAAAAAACGGCCGGCCCCTCGCGGGGCAATGGCCTGGGGCGGCGCACTGGCACCGGGGCAGCGGGCAACGGGCAGGCGCCGGGGCCGCAGCGGGAGGGGCGGGGCGGCGGCCGCAGCGCGGAACAGGGCGAGGCAAGAGCGGGCAACGGGGGCAGGGCAGGCGGCCAACGGAAACCCGCTGGCCAACGGCAGCGGAGAAGCGGAAGGCCACGTGGCTGGCGGCAGCGAGAAAGGGATTGATTCACGCCAAAGTTAGGATTATGTTGTTCCAACCCACTTTAGCCTTGATCACCAGGGAAATACCAGGAAAATACCGAAACCTGATGGTTTTCATGTGTCAGGCCCTGGGAGGCGATACTCGTTCGACGCTGTTTCGATATTTTCGGGGCGCTCGAAATTATTTCTGGGATGTGGTCTTTAAGTACGATGAGAGCAACAAAAAGTTTGGGGAAAGAAAGGCGGCGGCCGAGGCGCAGAGCACCGGGAGGGCTGGGCAGCAGGCGGCCACGCCAAAATTAGGCAGGAAGGGCGGCGCCCGCAGGAAGCGGGACGAACAGAGAACCGCCGGCGAACGGCAAGACAGGCGAACCGAGCCCACCAGGGCGGAGGCGGGGCAGGCGAGGGCGGAGCAACGCACACATACACAGACACACACACACAAACATTTGTTTTTTCCCTACCTAGGCTTTGCCTAGTCTAGCGCAGGCGGCAGAGTGCGCGCGTCAACGCCTGGCCAAGCTCTTAACAGCCATAAACCATCCTTGCCTGGATGACGGGGATGGGCGGACGAAACTATGGCGAAGGTGGAAGGTGACATAAGCCAACCAGGGCTGGAAGGCTGGGGGAGCGAGCAACCGAAAGTGGACTAAGAAGGAGCGCGTCAAGGAACGACCACGGAGAGCGAGCTGAAGGCGGCGGAGCCGCAAAAGGTCGCAGGCCCAAACAGCCGCGAAAGCCAGCAAGGGATGGGCGGCGCGCCGGAAACGACGGCGGCCGAGGAGCGGTCCCTGGGGGAGCGGCCTGGGGTGCCTCCAGAAACGGGCGGGGCGGGAAAGAGGGGAAGGGAGAGGGAAGCGGACGCGGACAAAGGGCGGAGAGCGGTGAAGCGGTACTGGAACCGCGAGGCCACTGGGGTGGGACCCCAGCGGTGGCAGAGGGGCCGCAGCGGGGAGGGCCCTGCTGGGCACGGACCGAGGAGGCCGCTTCGTCTCTGGCCAGAAGACGCGCAGCGTGGGTCCTGGTAGGAAGACTGGGATCGCGCACAGATGCTCGCCCAGGGGCAGAACTGGCCGTTGCGAAAAGTGAGGTCCAGAACTGACAAAGGACGAGCCCGTTCACCACCACCTGACGTCCCAACTGTTCCCGTGGGGCAGGGACCCGCCTTGGGCGGTGGGCTCGCGCTGGGAAGCCCACTGTGGTAAGTAGCGCTGGCTCCGAAGCGGAGGTCGCCGCCACCTACGCGAGGAATGCTGGTGGCTGGGGCGGGAAGCGGGCCGCGTCCTCGGGGCAGGTCCCTCCCCGGCGGGGGCGCCGCCTTCCGCGGGAGAGGCCCGAGGGGAACTGGCACCAACCGTCAAGGGAAGCGAAGCGCTCCTCGAGCTCGGCAGCAAAGTAAGCGCGTGGCGACGGGTAGGTGGTGCCCTCGATGGTCAGCCCGCCCTTGGGTCCAAGCGCCGCCCACGTGTGCCAGTCGACAACAATAAAACGGTCGCCAGGGATGGTACAACGGCAGTATAGCACAACCCTGTTGGCAAAAAGCCGCTGGAACGGGGCGTCCCCAGACGCGCCGGCTGATCCCAAAGATCTGGCAGGCCCGTCCGCGGCAAGACACGTGCGGGGGCGGGGCGGGGGCGAGACGGGCAGCGCGGAGGCTAGCTTGCGTGACGGCGATCAGTTGCGAAGCTACGGCCAGTACCGTTGGAGTGCGATGGGTCGTGGGAGACGTCGTGGCGCACCCGTGGGCGAAAGCTCCACATCGCGTTCCCTGCAGCTGCTAATGCCCTCGCAGTCAGTTCCTCGCGTCTAGTACGGTCAGCGTCTGGGGCGAATTTCCCGAAGGCTTGCAGAACAGCCATAAGCACAAGCTCTTCAGGGAATGGAGGGTGGTACAAATGAAGAGGTGAAGGGAATACGAGCGTGCGTCCACATCGCACTCTGCGCATATCCCGTGGATCGCGAGCTGGCATCGCTCCCTCCGCCACCAACTGGAATTGCGGGTGGCCGGGGTGAAAGGCAGAAGACACGGCGGTATCGACAAGAGCATGGCGGCGGTGCACGCTGCAAGCCAACATGGCAGCGGGCGCGTGCGGGCTCCTATTCGAGTGAGAAGCAAGAGGAAGAAAAGGAGAGGAAGAGGAAGAGGAGGAGACAGGGGATGAGGAAGAGAGGAGGAGAGCAGGGGGAGGACAGGAGGACCCTCGTCCCGCGATTCCTCGAGCCGTATTTTCCTTAGGCGAAGCTTCGAGTCGAGGTCTGGGCCCGAGGAGGAGGAAAAAAGGGGGCAGAGAAGAAGGCCAAGGAAGAGGGGGAGGAGGAGGAGGAGGAGAAGGAGGAGGAGGAGGAGGAGGAAGAGGAGCAGGAGCCAGAGCAGGAGGACGAGGAGGAGGATGTCCTGGGGAAAGAGAGAGAGAGGAGGGTGGGAGGGAGGAGGAGGGAGGAGGAGGAAGGAGGAGGAGGAAGG